GGCATTAAATACTTACCATGCAATGGAAAGTCTTTGTGAAAACGAAATACTGAAAAGAAAAAACAAAGAAAAACACTAACCCTTTTCATATGAGATTCCATCAAAGACTTCGAAGATTTCATCTGGGTGATCGACGGGAATGCTGATCTTGTGTGACGACTCCAAACTGTCAAGACCAAACACTCTGTGAACTCTTTCGACGAGGGACGTTTCCATTACTTTCCATGATGGCTCTGCCTATTGAACATCAAAGAAAAATTATATTCATTATGATCAATCACTTCTTTCATAATGAATGATACTAATCTGAAGGTTTTCGAACTGTATCAACTAGGACATGGATTAAGACATGAAGACTTTAAATGACTCACATGATCAATCCCAAGGAAATTTATATAGGTAGCAAATCCCTCGTTGAGCCAGAGGTCATCCCACCACACGGGCGTCACCAGGTTCCCAAACCACTGGTGAGCCAATTCGTGGGATATTACCTCTGTGATAAATGCTCTTGTTTGTGGTGTTGACACTTCTGGATTATACATGAGGTAATTTTCCCTGTTTGGATTAATTGATGGTAATAATTCTATTATTATTCTGGATAGATTGTGGATCCTATTGGCTAGGAAATGTCGTTGGCCTCGAATGCTGATTTTAATGGTTTGAAAATTAATGGCAGATGTATTTTTCTTTGTACATACTTTGTTTTGTTTTACCATTTACATGGACTATTTTTAGTGAAGGATATTGCAAACATATTGTTTACAACGCGTTTTCAGCGACAAACTAATATATCTCTTAATTACTATTATATTTACCTGTTTTGCATAGAAAACAGAAAATGCTGAGGGTCAAACAACATACCTAAGCTCAGAGCAATTTACACATTTTCTCGATATAATGCAAATTGAATATTACCAGATTACCAGTGACGACTTTTAAATTATTTTGATTAACTTGGAAACTTTGAGCAATTGATACCCACAGAATGCTAAATTTCATGGAGCCACATTTTGGTCACAAAATAGAACATTCTTTTAAAGCCATACATCTATATTGCATTCAATGCATTTACTTGCTAGTGATGAGACCCCAGTTTTCCATGGCTCCTGCAAAGAAGTCGGGTAACGCAACCATGTCCATCTTTGGGAGAGGGAAAGGCAGGCCGAAATACTCTTCAAAGAAACTCAGGATCTTGGGTCCCACCTTCAGTGCATACTCTGCCTGATCTATTGCTTCTCGTCGCGCCCACACTACCAGAGAATTTTGGGGAAAGAATATTATGACCACACTTAATCATGTATACTTGCTGTTCCATTCATTTACTGATGTGGCGAAAGATCATATAATATAATGCCATGGAGTGAAATATTTAATTCAGAGGAATACAAAACTCAAAATCTTGTTTCTTTCACTGGAATAAAAGCATGAAGGTTTCTCTCAGTAACTTTTTTATGAGTGCTATCAATATTTGATGTTTCTGATGAGTTCCGTTATTACCTCGAAGTACCACGCTGTCATTCACTGTGGTGTTGACTTGAACAAAATCCGAGACGACGAAGGCGACGAGGTAGGTGGACATCGGGACGCTCTTCTCATAACGGTCCCACACCCAACCCTCCTGCCCCGTGCTGTTTGTTTAGAAATATGACGCTAAAAGCATATGGATGAAAATTATATGTCTAAACCCAAATTGTAACATTCACTGACATGGTTTATATTTCCAATCTACTCACATAGGCACAGTTTCTGCAATGGGCATGTTAGAGAGGGTCGTCATCCAAGATTCCCTAGCGAGGTGAATTTCAAAGGTTGCCTTTTGGGCAGGCTCATCAAAGCAAGGGAAGGCTCTGCGGGCATCAGTAGCCTGAAACTGTGTCACAGCAACGTTCCTAGAAAGATATAGTGTCAGTAGACACATTGTGTATCAGAATGTTATAAGTAAAGTGGATTTATGAGCACGCGGTGAGTTATTCACCTGGTGTTGCCTGCAGCATCCATGTAGGTCGACCTGTAGAAGCCGTGCAGCTTGTCATTAAGATAACCAAGGAACTCCATGGAAAGAACGTACTTTCTTCCTTTCTGCAGCTCGTTCTTCAGATGGGCGATATAAAATTGACGATCATGATCGTACTCATGGTTTTTGATCCCCTCACCTCGGCCTTTCTCTTGACCAGGAGCATACACCTGAAACAGAAGAGGAGCCGCTATGATTTCCAAACATTGGGTCACGCTGAAATGTCCCAAACCTGCATTGTGTATTAAATGTTACTCTGCAACAATTCAAAAATATGTACCTTTATTGTGTCATTTTTAGTGATGATGTCAGCCATGTGGAGCGTGATGTTGGAGGTCGGTTCCAGGACCTCCATCTCCACCTCCATGTAGCCGAAGATGCTAAAGTTGCCATTGATAAAGGGTTGGAGCTTGATCAGGTAATGGAGTGGTTTCACGGATCCAGGCAATCTTATGCCCAAATCAGTTTTCTCCCTTGTAGATACTG